AAATAATGGTGGAAATCCAGAATCGATCAAAACTGTATGGTGTCTATCTAAATATATAAGCCGACATAGAGTTTTATATGTTCGGTATATTTAGACGTACATATATGTATAGCTTTCGATAAGTTTTTTTTTTTTTAATTAGAAGTTGTGTACGAAATCTATATATAGCTGCTTTATCTAAGTCATCTTCGCATTTTCTTTTGGTTAGAAGAAAGTTAGAAGATAAGAGAAAGTTTTTGAGTCACACATCTGAAGAAACGTACATGGCTTTTCATGTCTAGTTGCGCTTTTTATGCTTGTGGGGTATATGATTTGATGTACGTCAGAAATCACAATACGTAGTTGTTTACTTGTTACTATATGCTGTATATGTGCTAATACAACTAATTAATATATGTTCCAACAACAAGAAAATAATGAGTGTGAGATTGTTACAAAGTTCCACACTAAGCTGATGAGTTTACCTTTTTTTCATTGGAAAAGTTTTGGATCGAAATTGTGGATGCAAGATTCGGAAATTCAGGTTTTAGGAATGAACAAATGACTTAGAACTAAAATGTTTTGATAACTTTGAAAATTAACTCAACAAAATGTATACAAATATGTATATTACTAAATATTCGTATGAATACAAAGAAAATGATTACAATACGAGTATTTTCCTAGAGTTTTTTTTTTTTTGCTTCCTATGTGCATCCTCCTCCTCTGTTTATTCTACTTTTTTTTAATCGTCTGAGTAATATTAAAAAAACCAACCAATGTTCAAATCAAAACAATAAAGAAACCAACGAGAAACAAAGAGAAGCAAACATGACAACCCATCAATACTACAACCATAACATGATGCATTATTCCATAGCCTCTCGAGCAATTCTATCATGAAGCCAAACTGGACCGCCCAAAGCTAAATAAGAGTTGAACCTCCCATCTCTAGTAACACTCTTCGAAATCGCTCGTGCAATAGAGTTGGCACCAATCGATTCGGCTTCAAAGCCACAAAACGAAAAGCCCATACGTAGCCTATTGATCTGAAACAATAGCATCCTGTATCGCGGCCAATCTGATGGTTTTTGAATAGCCTCAAAAGCTGCTTGGTGATCCAAACCAAAGATCACATCTGAGACCGTAGATCCTGAAGGCTCTGCATTGCCCAAATGACACAGCGTAGTTCAGATACCAGTCTACTTGGAGAGCACGTAAAGGCCTCCCGAG